TCACAATACATTAACATCTGGAAATGTTTAAATATATAATATGTTTAACACAGGGCCAGGACTAGGGTGAGGCAAGCCAAGTACCTAGGTCATATTTAAGATAACCTATAAGAAGATGTATTATTTGGTACTGCAATGATTATGTTAACTGATATTCAATAAGCTTACTCAAATCAAGGAACCACAAAATAAACCATATAGTTTATTCCAAATAGTAAGGAAGGTAAATTTTATGTTATATGTGTTTTACCATAATTAGAGATAAAAAAGGAAAAATGAGGAAAATCACTATAATAACTTACAATTAATTCAAAGTGATAGATAAAATTAAGTTTGTTGATGGTAATGAAGCTAATAAAGGTACTGCATCATTATAAAATAAGCAAAAGAATCATACAATAATGTTAGAGTTGGAAGTAACCTTAACCATTATTTAATTTATCCATTTTATACTGCAAATAAGCAAGTAAAGCATATAGTTAACATCTAGAATTTGACATTGCTGACCACTATCTCCTCAACATTCTATGCATTTTTTGCTTTCATGAACTCTCTGGTTTCTCCTCCTCCATTTCTGATCACTAACATAATTTCCTTCAAGGACATTCTCTCTTCTACTAACAACTTTTTAAATGGTATTCCCTTGGCCCATTGCTCTTCAACTTTACATGCTTTCTTGAATGACCCATTCTTCTGGTTTGAAAACCATCTGCAGATAACTCCTAAAATTATATCTCTTCTCTTAATCTGTTTCTTAAACTCCAGATATAAATATCTAATACATACCTGGATGTCTCACATACATTTCAAATACATGTGTAAATTCAAAATCCGTATGTGCCCCTAATCTGGAAAAGCTGCTTCATTTAATAGTATCACTACCACCCAAACACCAAAACTAGAATCTAAAAGATCTCTTAGACTGTGTTCCCTTATTCCCCAAATCAATTAATTACTAAGTCCTGCTGATTCTATCTTAAGACTCTCAGGAATCACTCTCCACTTGGCTTATTGCCTAGTGGTTTGAAACCTTTGTGTTATATATTTCAATAATTTTTTGGTTATTTCAGGCAGTGAAATAAATCTGGTTTCTGTTATTTAATCCCAGCCAGAGAAGGACATTCTGTAGTATATCCTACGTTGTAGAATATTGATGTACCTAGTTGTTTATAGATAGTGTAAAGATTTCTGATATTACTTGGAATCTTAAATTGGAGTATTTTCCTAGAGCTGTCAAAGAATCATGTAACCCAATACTATCTTTCATGCTCCCTATTACAGAACTACTCAAAGTGATATCAATAAAAAGATAATTATACCACATTATTCAATTATTAATAAAAAGATAAGAGGGAATGAGGATTTTTTAATATAACTAGTTCTATTATCATGAAATAACATTTAGATCTATAGTAAACTTTAAACAACTAAATATTATTGGTAGCTATCATATTCTAAACCGCACAGTGGTATCAACTAGATCTTCCACAAAGCAATAAATACTTACCTAGGATAACATCCAAATTCATGACAAACCAGGAAGTACATGCCCGAGGCATCCTTTCAATAAGTAACATTCCTCTTGACATTCCCATTTCTCTTCTTTCATCATTAAGTTTTCTAAGGGTCTCCCTACAGGATACTCCATACCATGGCACTTAGCCTTTTCCCAGCTAGACCATGAAACTATTATGTCTCTTGTACTTTCTCAGTATATAGCCCAACATGTAACAAAAATTAAGAGATGGATGTTACCACTGTACAAAGCGTATCTCGAAGGGAGAAGGACAGGTAAGTCAACGCAAGGAGTTATTAGGATATTCATTAAAATGACTCATGATGGCTGAAATTGGTGAAATATAGCTGATGTCCCTAAAAAAGTCATAATTCTGCAAGCTAAGAGTTAATTACACAAGAACAACAATCCACACTTTCTTCCTCTCATTCTTCTCTTAACTTTCTTATAAGCAGCATGCTCAGAAAAGAAACGCTATAAAGGAATGCTAAAATCAAGATTATGAGCTTTTATATTAAATAGTATTTTTATGCACTAGAGATGTTTTTGGATGAATTCTAAAAAGTTTTTATGGCAGGTATGTATTTCTTATAGTGATTAATCAGACACTACAGCTATGCATAATGTGTCTATATCTGTCTATATTCATTTTCTATGCTATATACGAAATCACCACAAATGTAACAGCCTAAAACAAGAGACATTTGTTGCAGTTTCTGTGGGTCAATAATCTAGGTAAGGCTTAGCTAAATACTTGAATTACTGACTCAAAAAGCTGCAATAAAAGTGTTGACCATTTGTGTTTTCATCCAGAGGCTCACCTGGGAAAGCATACACTTCCAAACTCACTCTACTTGCTCACAGAGACAATTTCCTCACATCTGCAGGACTAAGGGCTGGCTGGAGTGTAGGACAGATTAGGGACTTCATAAATATTTTCTGAATAAATTACTGAAATTTCATTTAACTGCTGAATTTTGATCTTAATCAAAGCTCCTTTACTTTGTTAAGTGCCACATATTTTTTAATGTTAAATTTAACTAGGGCCAAGTGCAGGGGCTCATGCCTGTAATCCCAGCATTTTGGGAGACCAAGGCAGGCAGATCACCTGAGGTCAGGAATTCGAGACCAGCCTGGCCAACATGGCAACTCTACTAAAAATACAATAAAAAATTAGCTGGGCATGGTGGCAGGCACCTGTAATTCCAGCTACTGGGGAGGCCAAGGCAGAAGAATTGCTTGAACCTGGGAGGCGAAAGTTGCAGTGAGTTGAGATCACACCACTGTGCTCCAGCTTGGGCGACAGAGTAAGATTCTGTCCAAAAACAAAAAACAAACAAACAAACAAAAAGTTAACTGGAAAATAAAGAGGAAAGAAGCTGATAGCCAAAAGGCTAAAACACACTAAAGCTTTCTCCTTGAATTCTACTTTTTTGCAATATTCAGTTGTTTTCCAACATATTTATACTTTCAGATATACTTCATTACTTTCTGAAAAACCAAGATTATATCTGTCATAATTTCCTTTCAGCCTAAATAACTTCTTTCAGAATATCTTGCAGTTAATTTCTATTGGAGAAAAGTTCTTCTGTCTTTATGTATTTATTGGCCAACATTTTTGATGAATACTTTGCTGACTAGAGAATTCTATGTTAATTCTATGTTATGTGCCGATTTTCCCCAGCACATAAAAGATGTTATTCTATTGTCTTCTGGCCTCCATTGTTTCTAATAAGATGTAAGGAGTCATTCTTAATGTTTTTAATCTGTATATAACATGCCTTTATTGTCTACCCACTTCTTAAATTTTCTCAAAAGGACAGTAACCAAAATAGGTGTGCTGGCAAACCTGGGACACCTGAAGCTTAATTCTACTGAGGACACATTGACAGACAAGGAATGCTACAGAATCATTTCCCATGGTAGGTGAAGATAATCCCAAGGGTGTTATCTCCATCAGTTCTTATCTGCCTGCTGAAGGGCAGGGCAGCCTTCAGCTGCTTTAGAGAAAAGCTACAGCTACAGGAGAGAAAGACGAAATAGAAAAAGAAAACACAGGTGTCATTGAGTACCCAAATGTTTCCTGATTCTTCTAGGGTTAGCTTAATTGACACATATGTTCATGAAGCAGGATCATCATCAATATAGTCAAATTATTTTAAGTACAATCATTTAATGAATATCTCTCCTTGCCAAACTATGATCTTCATGAGGACAGGACTGCATTAGTTTTCTTCAGTATGTTCTCTGAATACAGTATTGTAACTTTTGCAAAATGAATCAATAAACGAATAAATTTTGTCAGTTGCTTTCATATACTTTATCACTCTATATTTTCCACCCTCTTCATGAAGAAGACATTATAATCTCTAACTTGTGGACACAGAAACAAGAAGAAACTCCTCAACATTACATTGCTAAGAAATACATATCTAGGTCTGCCTTACTTATAATTTCAGTCTCTTCCAGTCTAGTCTTCAGGTAAACAAGAATATTGATAAATAAAGATCTTCCCACTTTAAATAAAATAAAATAAAATATTCTCCTTGAGTTTTCAGTAGTTTGACTGCTAGGTACTTAGCTATGTTCTCCTTTTTATATATTCTTCATGGAGTTTTCTGAGATTCTTGGGTTTCAAAAAGTGAGTTGCTTGTCACTTTTTTGAATTTTAGCACCCTGCCATTATGGTAATGTCAATTTAAGACCTCAGATCTCTATGGGCTTAATACAGCTGTAATTTTATAGATGATATAACCTTGTTCTCATAGTAAGGTGGGAACAATTTTCTATTGCAACTTTTATATCTTAAGTCAAAGTGAAAGGCCTTGACTTAAGCCCTTGATATTACTATCTGCTACATATAAAATTATATAAGGATGCCTCTGGTATCACAGAGAAAAAATCCTATGCAAAAACTAAAATATATAACTGTTAGCTTATCAAATAAACATCTAAATGTATATTTTCATCAGGTTAAACATGATCTTGAAGGAAAGTAATTCAGTAAGATAAAATTGTGCATTTTAAAGTAAAAATCAATGAGAAGAAAATTTAATAACAATAAGGAAATAGCTATTATAATTTTCGTATTTAACTTGTAATTATGTATGAAAAGTAACTAGATAACCATTTCATGTTAATTTAATCACAACTCAGACTTTATCTCAGTACTGAAGTAAGAATGGATCTATTAAGCACTTAAAATTGTGAAAATAATGCTTAAACAAAAAGAATGAACTAAAATTTTTTAAATTCAAGGAACATGTCAAAATGTTTATATTTTTATAACTATAAGGAAGATCATATGAGTTTCATAAAATTATTTTTAGGATAAGTGAAGTACACCAATTATTTTCAACTAAATTATGAAGATGAGATAGTATACATAATTGTTACATGTGAGAAAAATCTTACCAATATTAACAATGCTGGGAATTAAAAAGGATTATAGAAATTAGATCCATATTTCTAACTTTTATTTTACCTGTAGTGTGAGATGCTTCACTGCATTCCAAACTATTCCAATAAATTCCTTCATTCTTTCTTCAGGACTTCTACAGCTTTCAGATATATTCAACATGGCTTTAACAGGAACTGACAATGGGCGGGATTCTGAGTATGAGAACAGCTAATTATTTAATAGAAACATACCTTACAATTTCACAAAAACATACCAATTGTATTTTCAAGATTATTTCTTCTCTTGCTTAAAATTACAATTTTTATACGAGATTACGAATTGCCATTGTACATCATTTTCTCTTACAGAACTGATTTTTGCAAGTATTCAAAAATAAGCAGGCCTAATTTGTTACAAGTCAGAAGAGCACTCACTCTTGTCAGGGATTAGTGACTAGAAGGTAGACTTGTGAAGAGATAAATGTTCTATTTATTAATTACATGCAAGTATTTACTTTCTAAGAATTCATTAAGCAGTAACTTAACAATTTGTCCAATTTTCAGTATAAAGGTAATACATCAATAAAATTTTTTCTTGGAAAAAAAAGAGAAATTCACCTAAAAAGCACTTGATTCATCCAAAATTGATAGAAAATTAGTCTTCCCATATGTAAATCTTCCTGATAACAAAAGCTTACCCATAAAAATCTCTCAATTTTAAAAAGTGACTTTTGGCCAGGCGCGTTGACTCATGCCTGTGAGTCCCCAACACTTTGGGAGGCCGAGTCAGGCAGATCATTTGATGTCAGGAGTTCCAGACAAGCCTGGCTAACATGGTGAAACCCCATCTCTACTAAAAACACAAAAATTAGTCAGGCATGGTGGCAGGCGCCTGTAATCGCAGCTACTCAGGAGCCTGAGGCAGGAGAATCACTGGAACCCAGGAGGCAGAGGTTGCTGCAATGAGGTGAGATTGCACGACTGCACTGCAGCCTGGGCAACAGAGCGACACATTGTCTCAAAAAAAAAAAAAAAAAAGGGCGGGGGAGGGGGGGATTTTGATGATAACCAAAACAGGTATGTGATTACATAAAAGGAAGATTTCTTAATAAAATGAAATGTGATATTCCACTCTCTATATTATTTAAAATTTTGTTCATTCAAAGTAAAGAAATTGGAGGATTTCAACCATGTCTTCATAATGAAAGATTTCAGGAATTATTTTAAACAATTGAGTAATTTATAATAGTGTATTATAACTAAACAGATTCATTTAAAACTGAGCAGACACATTTATATAATACAGCTTAAGTTAATGCAAATACATAATTTATACGTAGTATTTTAGGTACTTCTAAAGTAGCATAAAATAAATAAATCAGATCTAAATAAATTTTTATTAAATTAAATTACATCACCACTATGAGAATGTGGTGATATATGATTAGTTGCCATATCCACTCATACTTCCCTTCTCCCCCAACTTGGTTAATATATGAGCATTGATTCCATATTTAAAATACCTTAAGGGCATGAATAATGGACTTTTTCTTTCTCATAGTTATAATGTCATATATTATGATATGGTGAATATCAGCAATTTTAAATAATGTTTTTTAAAGCAAACCAGTTTGGGAGAGATCCATGCAGATCTCAGGGGGCAGAGCATTACAGTAGTCAGATGAAACAAAAACAACAAATGTCTGAAGTCAGAGGTATGTTTGGGATTTTCAAGCTAAGTATGGAGGCAAAGATGGCTTGAGGAGAGTGAGCAAGCGTGAGAAAAGTAGGAGATGAGGTTAGAGCTATATATAGGGACCAGGTCATACAGGACTCATGTAGGTCATAGTAAGAAGATGGTTTTCACTTGAGGGAACTGGGACAGAGTAACGGATTCTCAATACAGTCACGGCATTGTTGAATATGTGTTTTGAAAGAACTTCTTTGGCTGCTATGCAAAAAATTTACTACATGGATCCAGTGTTGAAAAAGGAAGACAGGTTGTAAGAGATAGCAGAAGCAAGGAGGTGGCAAGAAGTGGTGAAACGCTGTATCCGTTTCAAAGATACAGCCAATAAGACTTACTGATGGATTAGATGTATAGTAGGAGAGAAATCAAAGATGACTCAAAGTTACTGGGACTGAGAGACTGGAAGAATGGAGCTATAGGAAAAGTACATTTGAGAAGAAAGGAAACTTAGTTTGGGACGTCTTAAACTGAGATTTCCATTAGACATCCAAGTAAAGATATAAGGTGGCAAATAGATAAACGACTATAAAAAAATAGAAAAGATAAGACTAGATAATTTACAGAAAAAAATGTTATTTGGCTAGTAAACTTATTTTTTAAATGCTCAACATTGCTAACAAAGAAATAAAAATTAAGATATCAGATATCGTTTTCATCAGATATCCAACAATCAGACATACTTTTCATCTGTTACACTGGAAACATGTTAAAGAGTTAATTTGTATACCCACAAAATTTGTCACTGTTGAAGCCTCCTGTGAGAATGTTTTATATATGGGGAAAATAGGTATGCTCTATAGAACGGAATTGCAACAGAGGGCAATTTATATCTGTTACAAATTTAAACATGCTGGCCACGGTGGATGGTGCACATCTATAATCCCAGCATTTTGGGAGGCTGAAGTATGTGGATCACTTGAGGTCAGGAGTTTGAGACCAACCTGGCTAACATGGTAAACTCCTTCTCTACTAAAAGTAAATAAATAAATAAATAAAATAGAAATAAAAATTAGCGAGGTGCGGTGACACACACCTGTAATCCCAGCTACTCGGGTGGCTGAGGCAAGTGAATTGCTTAAGCCCAGGAGCTCAAGGCTGCAGTGAGCCAAGATCGCACCACTGCATTCCAGCCTGGGCAACAGAGTAAGACTGTTTCAAAAGAAAAAAAAAATTTCAAGCGTACTTGTCCTATAAAACAATCCCATTTCTAAGAATATGCTATGGAAATAGTAAAAGTTGTGAGGGTGCATGCACACAATTTATGAAAGATATTCAGTATCAGTGGTAATTTCTGTAGCAGCAAAAAGGAAAGAAAGGGAAGGAGAGAAGAAGAGAGGAAAGAAAATGCTAAACAATTTATCCGTCCATCAAAAAAGAAACAGCTAATTTGGAAATATTTGCAGTAAAGAGTAAAATTAAACCATTTAAAGATGAGATACAGTTACAGGTATGAATAAAGGCATATTTTTGGTATCTTACAAAGTGAAAAACCTCAAACATATGTGTGGTATCATCCAAATATGTTTTTAAACAGTATATTAAGTTTGAATACATATTTGTCTTCCCACACATAGAAAAAGTTATAGAAGACTAAAAAAGCAAGCCTGTGACAGAGTACCTCTGAGGAGGGAAAAATGGAAATGATGATGGGTAAAGGAGTGGTAAGTATTTTAAGTATTTAACTCTTTATTATATATATTTCAGATTTAATTATTTTATAAAAGTGAATTACCTGTTCTATTTCTTTAAAACATATATATTAATTTACTTTGTACTTATTTGGACTTCTTTCTTTTCTCCTGTACATTAGTAACTATTAGAAGAAGATGGTTACGTAATATTACTGTATATCTCTAGCAATCTAAATAATTGGCTTAAAATACAGACCAAATTTTAAAATTACTTGAAACCATGAATAGTAAAGGTTTGCACAAAGGTCTCATGGTCAAAATTTTAAAACCTAGTGACGAAAAACATTAGTACTATATGAGCACTATTATTACATTTGAAAAGAAATCTATCTAATAAATGCTAATATTTCCAAGCAGTATGGGCACTATTAAACTACTGTCAAGTAATATTTCCAGTCATCACTAACCAAAACAGCTACATGTTTTTTGTAAATACTATATTTGCTGATACAATGCTAATGAAAAAATTAGAGACCTGGAAACCTACATGTGGATTAAAAGTACTGTTCAAATAGCTATGAAAAACATAATCAGTTGAAAATTCTCATGGAATAACATGATCTGGTTATTCAAAGAGTAAAAGTACACTATTTTGGATATACTAGTTTTCAATTCATTATATTTCTAAAGGATAATAGAGAAGTTTGTAAAAAAGAAAAGACAACATTTTCTGCAGCTAGGTGTATTTTAAAGGCAAGACATGCCTACTCTATAAAACTCTGTCAAGCTTCATGCCCATCTATCTTATTTAATCAAAACTTCTATAGCACCTACTACATGCCAGGCACTGCTACAAGTGCTTTACAAATATTAACCTGTTTGTCCAGGCATGGTGGCTCACACCTGTAATCCCAGCACCTTGGGAGGCTGAGGCAGGCAGATTGTTTGAACCCAGGAGTTCAAGATCACCCTGGACAACATGGCAAAACCTTGTCTCTACCAAAACATATTACAAAACTTAGCTGGGCATGGTGGTGCACGTCTGTAGTCCCAGTTGCTCGGGAGGCTGAGGCAAGAGAATCTCTAGAACCTGGGAGGTGGAGGTTGCAGTAAGCTGAGTTAATGCCACTGCACTCCAGCCTGGGTGACAGAGTCTCAAAAAATAATAATAATGACAATCTGTTTAACCCTTGTAACAACCTGACAGAAAATATACTATTTTCAGACTCTTATGACCATTTTCAGATAGGGAAACTGATAACAAAGAGGTTAAGTAACTTATTCCAAGTCACCCAGCTGGTAAGTGGCAAAACAAGGTGGTAAATCTAAGCAGACTGGTTCCAGGGTCCATCCTTCTAACCACTATGTTATGCCACCTTTTCTATTATTCAATCCCCATACAATGACTTCTAGTTCTATCAAATATATAAAAAACATATAATATTTCTACTATGGATCATGGACAATAAATAATTCAGAAAACATCAGATTTATTCATTCCCAATAAAGCTACATAAAGCCTAAATTTAACATGGCAATCTGATTTCAAACATATCTATTACACTTTTAGTTTTCTATAATAAATAAATAATTTTGAGACCCAAATTTCAGTGGTTAAAATAACATATCAACAATTACATCTTGGGGACGAACCATTCAACTTGGTACAATATAATTCCTTCATTTCTGTCCCATGGAAAAGGTACTACACTTGGAGTCAGTTTGTGTTTTAGTTGTGCCAAACGACACATGATTAAAGAAAATGAATTTAATCTAAATGTCACGTTTCTGACCTCTACCTTAGAGCTAAAAGTATGTGTAGTATCAAGAAT